GAGCTAGTGTGTCTGTCGCCAAGCCAAAGGAGACGTGATACTGATAATATGGCCCTGCTACCATGGAGACCGGTGTGACTCTGCATCTTAATGTGCTTCTTCACATCGGCCCCGCCTTTTAATTATTCATCAGACCCTCCAGAGGAGCGGGCCCTGAATCCAGCGCCTCGTAACCAGAGCCGACCTGGTGGTTTTCCTTCAGAGAGTTTATCTCAAATGTGAGCGACACGCAGATCAATGGTAATGTGTTCCTTATTGAGTCACTGATACGCTCAAGCAGTTCTTCAAAAAGGGACCAATTTCAATGTTTTGTGGAAAATATACAGACATATTTACAAGAAAATCTCTTTGTAGCGTGCATTACCCTTCATAAAGAAACATTTATCTGATGTTATGTTGATCTGATATGTTTGTAATCGGTTAATCAAATGCAAAAAAGGCTGTTTTTCAGATTCTCAAATATGGAGATGTTTAGCATGACAAAGACCCTGAACTTTAAGAAACTGGTTAAGACATTTCTTCAGGCAATTTGTTGTCTATTTATCTAGAAAAAAGCTTTAAAATCAATCAACAAAGACACTTATTTTTACCTGCAGCCCTATTCTGAAAGTGAGGGTGCCAAGAAAAGATATGGAGGAAGGGGAAGCACTTGAGCTACGATGTGACACCACTACAGGAAGTTAAACACACACACTCCTTCATATGAGACATAATGTCTTCTAGTGGGCCTTAAAACCTCTCCTGTTCCACCCGCCTCAGTCGGTATGATAAGAAAGCCGATGTGAATTAAGATTCACAGATAAGATACATTTCAAAACGATTAAAATCAAATGTTATTCATCACAGAATATCTATTATATGATATCAGGTTATCCTGAGTTTAAGTATCACCTCACCAATCATTTGCAGTAAATAAGAGGTTAAAGCCCAGCACTTAACGAACCTTGACCTCTACAGGAAGTAGTTTAGCGCCACCCTGGAAGCCTTAAATCCAATCTGAACTTTGTCTGGGAGGGAAACGTTCAGATAAAACCCAGAATACTCGCTAAGAATTGCATTTGTTTCTCACAGTGACCTCTTGAATGTCCTCACAAAATGACTCGCCTCAGCACTAATCGCAGTCACAACATCCACATAGAAAAGTAAGCCAAGTAGAAGGAGGTGACCCAAAAATCTTGTGAAACTGTGTTTGTAATGAGCATAATTTAGAGCAACACGTCGGACAGTTTGTTGTCTGCTATTATAAGAAGGGAAGTTATCATTTCTGTGATACATTGAAGGCCAACACCACCCAGAGAACACTCAGGAAGTGCAACACTGACTGGCCATTTGATTTCTGACCCCGAGTTGTCCCTCGATGTCTGTGGGCACTCACAAGTACATGCAAAAAACCCTCAAGAGCTTTGCATAGTCTCAGACTTGTAAAACACCAGATTCTCATGACCTTTGTTTCCGTTAAGGGCTTTGTAATGCTTACTAAAAACTAGCATTACACACAATTACTGCGTGACTTTCCTTGGAACTGCACTGACGGGTTGAACCTGCTATATCATGCCATGAGAGCAGAATACATAACCTGCATGTCGAAAAAACACAAGGTCTGGTGACAAGTGTGGTTAGGAATAGCAGATGAGATGCTGAGGGGGGTCGCGGCACTTCCTCTTCCTCTTGTCACCACCACATACAAGCTCTGTTGCTATGCTAACAAGCTGGCCCCATGACAATATGTGAAAGAACAACAGTGTTAAAAGATGCACACACACACACACACACACACACACACACACTGGTATCTCCATTCCTGCGAAGGCCGTCACTGACTTCGTTAAATCCAGAAACTCTAACACGCTGCACGACATGCCTGTGACACTTTCCCTCACATAAAACTAATCCTAATGCTGGTCTTCACTCTTAATCTAATCCAAATCCTCTAAAACCCTTTAAAGAAGTCAGAAATGGCAAAATGCCCTCATTTAGAGAACTTGGGTTGTGACATAAAATAAAAAGCCAGCCAAACACATTTCCTCCTAGCTGCACAGACACTTCTGAGTCATACCTCGAACAAAATTCAATCAAAACACATTAGCATGTTGGCATGATGCCGTTTTTTTTTTTGCCTTGTTCCTGTAAACCTTGAAATGTCATGAATGCAATTGTTCACGTCTACAATGTAACCAAAACTAGACAAACTGGCTCACATTTTATTGTCTCACACCCTGATAACTGACATCGTTTTATAACATCCCACCTTAGTGAGTTATCGTCAACAATGACTGAGATTTTTAAGAATACAGGAGGGAAACTGACGGTGTGAATAACGCTGGAGGTCACACTAATGCCTTTTTTTTTAAAATCCCAAATATTACCTCTTCAGTTATTTGCCCTTGATGTGAAAACAGCTTGTTGAGAGGATTTAAGGCCGGCTTTGTGACTCGCACGACCAATGAGCATCTCTCGGCAGCTCCACCAATAAATGAGTGCTTTGCAAACAGTAGGCCGACTGTAAAGAAGCGGATGTGTGTGTTGCATGATGGGAAAGAGGTTCTTAAGAGTAGAGTGCCAAGGTGAAGTGGGACAAGCTTCTTTCAAAGAGCTGATTTTATATCTCATTTTTAGATTTAAAACGTATAATTTAATTTAAGGTTACACTGAATTTGAAAATACATGAATGTATGGTTTTAACAGACCACAAAGGTAGAAGGAGTGTTTGTGCTCGGGAGCCCTTTAAATCATAAAAAGGCCAAGTGTTCCACTTCCCTGCACAGCATCCATCACCACAGCCCAGTTCTCCTCCATCCCTCCATCCTCAATCCCTCGCATCCCCCCCCCTCACAAACCCTCCGACCATTTCTCGCCAGCGAAGCACGCCACCGAGGCAAAGCTCCTTTTCCCCAGGATTCATAATCTCAAGAGCCTCAGCAAAAAGGTGTCTGAAAGAGCTCTTTATAAAGCCAGAGGCAGTCTGCGGCTCACCTTGGGACGGTCGCTACACTCAGCGTTAGCTCAAGGATTTTAAGCAAGGGGTGTGGTTGCATTAGACAGGATAAACTGTATTAAACGTATCCTGAACTTGCCACGAAAAGTATCTTTTAAGCTGTTTTGACAATCTTTCTGACTGACAGTACACACATGTGCAGCCTGCATGGAAAGAAGATACATATCATCAAATCAAATCAAATCAGCGCGCCATAACCTGATTATGTGATTCTGCTAATGGGGCAGACTGAAAATGACTGGACTGTAATGGTGAGCTAAGTGCTTCAACAATGAGCCAGACTGAGCCAAAACACACACTACAGAACAGAAAATCAAGAGTCAAAAGTACAATCTGTGCCTCTGAATAGTAGGTAGTAGGGCTGTGCAATTAATCGTATTTTAATCTCGATTACGATTTTGGCTTGCAACGATTACGAAAACAACGTAATCGAAATAAAACGATTATATATATATATATTTTTTTTTTTCAGGTGAATTATACTTAAATTTCAGGGTAATCAACTGTTAAAAACATACTGTTCACATTTTTGTTTCAATAAATGGATGTTTTCAAAGTAAATGAATAATCGTTTTTAATAATCGTGATATCAATTATTGACCAAAATAATCGTGATTAGGATTTTTGCCATAATCGCACAGCCCTAGTAGGTAGGCTATAAAGTAGCAGCATAAGGAAATACTAAAGGAAAGCACCACTGCTAGGGATCAATAACCAGCTGTAAAACATGAATATCATAATAACCTTGGCATTGAACTCCAGCGAAATTCATTTTTGTCCTCCCATAATAACGAGCATGAATCAACATGATTAACAAATGTGAGCAAATATGTCTCCCTTCATTGCGTACATACCAAGGTGAAATACAGGGTTACTGTTTTATAAAGCTGTCAGTAAGAGGAATGTCACTGACAGCTGTACATGTCACCTGCTTTGTGAATGTACACACAGTGGACAAATAACCCGATCAATTAGCTAAGAGCATAAATATTTCTATAGCTTCATTAACGAGGATTGGGTGTAACAAGGCACCTTAGCCGAGACAATTGGCCTGGAAATGAAGACTTGTTGGTTATTCTCGAACAACCGGTTTGAGACATGTTTCCTGGCACATTATGGGTATGTTGCCAGAGAAATGTACATTCATTCAGTATCAAACTTGTTTTAACATCAACTAGCCAGGTTTGTAACACACTGCTCATGTGTACATGTGTGTATTCAAATCAAAGTTTATTTATATAGGTCAACATGTTTGTCTCAGTGGGCTTTACAGATTAACAAACATGAATGCTAACAGATAAATACAATTACAATAATAAAAAGATGGAGGACAAACATAGGGTCATTTTAAACCAGCTTTAAATATATGCTCTTTTTTTAATCGAGTATCTGTTTCATCTTATTCTATCACAGCTTAGTTACTCCTGCATTGTTTACTTGCAGCATTGTGTCACTTGCACTATATTATTGCACTACTTCCTTCCTATTTGTCTCTATGTATTAAGTATAGTGTGTGTCTCTGTTGGAGGGACTTCAGGTTTTCAATGCTAACAGTGTAGCTGTGGTGCATATGAATATAGAGCCTTTTGATTTGAATGTAGCTATATTTCTTTATGTCTTAAGAGGAGTCTGTTGGAGAAGTATGGGACTTTATTCACGCTATGGTGCATATGAAAATAAAGCATTTTAATGTAGCTTAACCAGTGGGTAATAACAATGGGACCCCTGCTTTCTGCGGCGTTTCACCATTGACATTGCCTAACTGACCATTAAGAAAGCAGCTAGTGTTAAGGTTAGCCACATAACAACGTACAATACTAGGGTATTGTACGTTTTTGTGTGGGTTAAAAGCTACATACACCTGTTTTCTAAGGTTAAATTAGCTTTGTTAGCTCGGTCGACCACCACACATTTCACAACAAAACACGCACAGTCCGCCGCAATGACAACCGAGCACGCGCTGCTAAACACTGCGCATAAACAATGAGGCATAAAACCAGCTTACCTTTTTACTCTTTTCTCTCTGTAGCCCACGGTGGTGAAATAAAGGGGTAATAAGACTTGAAATCCAGAGGGAAGAGCGACAGAGGAGACGTCGTTTCGTTGAGCAGACTGGAGAGATTTCAGGCAGTGTGTTTTGCTCTGCCCACTTGCAGGGAGCGAGGGACACTTTAGGGACCGCGTGCGTGTTAACACCCGCAGAAAAAACGTAAAAGGAGGCACACTTCGAGTTTTCCTTCTTTCATGCAAGTTAAATATTCAGTTTTAGATTTGATTGCTTCAAGGCCTTATGATATCCACCACAGCAGGCATTTGAACCTATATAATCACCACTTTCATTGAATTCTGAGTAGTTTCCATACACATTCATCCGTTTGTCATCTTGCAATTTACTTATTTATCTAAATAACTATTTAATTTCATTTTACTGTACAATATTACATTTTATATTCTGCTCTTATCATATTCTATTGACGTGTATATAGACTTATTGCACTATTTTCTATTTGTATTTTATTATACATGTTGCATCGTTGGAGGAGCTCGGGTCATAAGATTTTAATTGCACTTTCTACACTGTAGCTTACGTGCATATGGCAATAAAACCTTTGAATGTTGAATCTTTGAATCTAGTTTAGTCCACTTTGTCACGTCCATGGAGTTCCCAGTCAAAAATGACGACCAAAGGAAATTAATGGGTAACCCAAATCGACATTTTTAATTTTTGGAATACTTTTTCCGTGTTTATACTTTGTATATGTACTGCAGTTATTCATGTAAACCAGTAGTCTTATATATTGTTTACAGCTTCAAAGGGTGCACACACAAAAGGCCAAAGTAAAAACAATCTAAAGACATTAAAGTATAAAATCTGCTACCCAAACACATCCGTAATTATTGTTGTGTCGTATATTTTAAGTGTGTTGTTTTAATGTTTTCATGAATAATAGCATGTAAAGTGTCTTTGAGCACCCTGAAAAGCGCTGTGTATGTATTACCATCAAAATGTACCAAATAGTCTTACAGTAAATTATTCAGAATATTATTTTGTTGTAGATGTGTGTTAAATACTTATATTTATACTATCCAACACAAAGAGGGAGAAGACATAGGACGGAGAAAATAGGACGGTCCCTAACTGTTTGTCATGCTGTCACTTACCAATAAAGCTTTGTGTGTACTGCCATCTGCTGGCTGTCACATGACACAGGCTCAGTAGACTTTATTGCACATGTATTGTTATGTAGAGATACTGAAATCTAGCAGTACTTTGTCGTCGTGCATGGCCTGACATGCTGTGTATTTATGAACAAGCTGGTTGTTATTCTGGAAATTAGATATTTAGCATTATAAGAACATACAGGATATGACTCAGCACACGTTTCCAATAGTCAGTAAGATAGGTGAAAAGCATTACACACCTTAGATGACTTTGCATGTATTTCCATGAACAAATCAGCATCCACGCTCTCTTGTATTTCAGTGTTTCTAGAAAACATTTGCACCGTGTAACTCAATAACAAGGTTTGCAGTGAGAGACAGATTCAATATCCATTTCCTTGTCAGTGTCATTCATTAATACAATAAGACAGCTTCCAGTGAAAGAAAAACACAACTCTCAAGCTCAGTCTCTGAGAAAATAGATTTATTATTCAAATAAGCGACATATACACAGTGGGTTCGTGGTTCTAATCATCGGAAAGAAGAGGAATATAGTAGAGCGACAATCATTTACAGAAGTGTGTGTTATTATCACACAGCTCCTCAGGGTAAGAGAAGTCACATTCATATTATATTCAGATATATATATAATGTACTGTACAGACGTAAAGAGCTGAAGGCAGGAGAGAGCTTGATTCCCCACTAAGGCACTCGTGATCAAAATGGGGTTGATGTGGTTTGTTTTGGAGCCTTTTCTTCTCACTACAGGCGGATTTATCCAATTAAAAAGTAACGTTTTGATCTGAATTACACTGGGACTTCGACCGTTTCAGATCGGGATCAGTAATACAATAAAATCTGATGTGAATCCTTCAATCATTGCCAGAGAAAGACTCTATAAAAATGGACACTTCCCCAATAAAAGATAAATTACTTTGGCTGAAACACAATAACACTATTTTCCAACAACACGTTTTTTTGTCTATACATTAAAAATACAACATAATCCACAAAAGAAAATGACAGGACGAATAATCAAACACAGCTTTATGCCTTAATGTGAAATGATTCAAGCCTTTCTCTTGCTATTTTTTTTATTGGTTCTGGAAAGGCTCTTTATGGGGAATAAATAATTTGCTAATGCCCTAACCACGCCTAGTTTAAGACTGCAAATTGGGACTGAGTCTTTCATAAAAGTCTGTGTAAATCTGCATAGGGCGAGGCACATACTTACTTAACTATTGTATGTAACAAACATAACTATTATAACATTATCTTTTACTAAACTTAAATAAGTAGTTAGTTTAATTAACACGAGCTTCGTGTGTGACGGTTTCAAATATGTAATTGAGAAAGCAATTTTGTGCCGTGTGATTTTGTTGGTTTTCTAACAGGAGAGAAAGGGTAGCGATGCATTCACTTCCCCAACCTCTTAGCAACGTCCTTATAGGCCAGCTCGATTTCCACATCGGCCGCGCACGTGTTGGTGAACTCGTCTCGGCTGTAGGAGTTTCCGAGATAACGCCACAACCCCTTGAATTCAGACGGGATGTCGTAGTTTCGGTATTTCTTCGTCACCACCTGCCAAAGACACATTAGTTACAGTGCAGTGTGAGATGTGAATAGTTCAATTAAAAGCAGCGGCAAACTGAAAAGTCTTCAGCCTGGATTGAAAAGTAGTCAGAGTTGCAGCGGACCTGCAGGTTTCTGGGAGTTTGTTCCAGATATTTGGAAATATCCCAAACCTAATTCTCACATTCCTCAAACTAAACCAATCAAGTCACCTTTAAGACGTGGAGTTTAGGAAGCAGGTTGCAGTCCGCCAGCGTCAGTTCGTCTCCGTCCAGATATTTGCGTTTGGATTCCCCGTCTCCGCTGTGACGTCCATTTTGAACCTCGTCAGCTGTCGGACTCAGAAGATACTCGTCCAGCTTGGCCAGGGCTTTTTCCAGACTTTTCTCTAGCGCTGGGACACACACACACACCAAGGTCAAAAGGTCATAAGAGTCAACAAATCAAAGCTACATCAATTTGCATCACATTTAAATGTCAAATTGCATCACTATCTCATTGTGCCCCCTCAGAAGCCCCTGCTTACTTGATAAACATACCAATAGGTCTCGAGTACTTACCTCGATTATTATCCGGTCTTTTGTTCTTGACGTAAGCAGAGAACTTGGCGAATATATCATTTCCCGCTGCGTTTGATTCCCGATTCTTTGCTGCAAGTTTGGGATACCTAACACACAGGAACACAGTGAAAAGTTAGGACGTTTATGACCTTTTCCTGTGTGTGTTTACGGGTGTGAAACCTACTTTGGTGGAGCCAGCATCTCCTCCAGATACTCTTCCACTTTGTTAACGTCGGTGAGCACCTCCCCCTGGAAGGTGAGGAAAGGCGGGTGCGTCCCTGGAGCCAAGTTGTGGAGATCGGCCGGTTTCCTAATCAGACAGGAATGAATTTACAACTTCAATAAATCTAATGAAACGCTATTTCAATATCACAACCACCTGTAAACAAATTATCCTCCTTACCGTGTGTATTTAGCAATGGTTGCTACCTCAGGCCTTATTTCCTAATAATCTTTAAAGTGACCCTTTGAGATTTTGTTCATGTTTTTCTCAAAGCAGCACTTGGAGCGAGACATAATTAAATGCACGGGTTAAAATTGTATCTATTAGTGGCCTAATCAAACTGCAAGTAATGGGATGTAAATGTATGATTGTTGCAGGTGTTTTTTAAAAAGCACATATAGAAAGTGAAAGTATGTTTTGCCTTATATTAAAATGTGGGTTTAATTGGGTTTTTGAGCTTTACTCCTGTGCAGACTTATTCAATAGTTTCCTTACCTTTTGAGGTCCACAGTGGTGACATTGAAGACTACTCCTTTCAGCCAGAGGATCATAAAGAGGCGCTGAGAGAAGGGACAGTTTCCGATGCTCTCTCCATCGCTCCCAGCCTGTAAACACACACATGAAGACAAGGTACTGTAAGACGCCAACGATGCTACAGAAACGCAGACACACACATGTCCAAGGACTCACACACGCTCATCCACAATCACAGTGACACCGACGCAAACTAAAACACACCTGGAGTTAAGTCAGGAGTTAAAGCAGCACAGGGCAATAACTTTATCTGCATTTGATGTGAGGAAATAAGGCACCAATACCAAATGTTTTCAAATGGGTTTTTTTGCTATTTTTACAGATGTGTATCCTCTGTATTCACATTTATTTGCAATAGCATTGAAATCGTTTTTTAACCTAATCACTAAGGAAACTATCTAACCTCCAATGCTAAACCTGCCAAAAATAATAAAAGTGTGTGTGTGTGTGTGTGTGTGTGTGTGTGTGTGTGTGTGTGTGTGTGTGTGTGTGTGTGTGTGTGTAGCTGCAATAGGACACTGTAACGAGACACTGAGTCCAGCATGAATAATCCACACTGCTTCCATTAACCGCCTCACTGCCTGCTCAGTTCCTACTGTACCAGCAGTTATCAGATATGGAAATAATATCAATCCACAGGGACACACACACACACCTCCACAGAAAAACATTCTATCCACTGTGTGAATCATGCTGTTTGTGTTTTAAAATATGACTGAAATACTCCCCATGCAGCCATTACAGTTGATTCATTACAAACTTTTTGAAAAGTTCATTAGCAAATTAGTCATTGTTAAATATGCATTGAGGACATTTGAAATCAGTTATAATGTAATGCCTTTACGTTAACGTGTAGCGCGTATTCAAAATAATCAGCAACAATGTATAAATACACTTATTATCTACCAATACTTCGATGAGGAAATTAATACCATGTCATGTCTATATGTTTAGGAAAGTGCTGTGTGGAGAAAAATAACATTACTATTATATATTTCTAAATACACACACACACACACCAGCACATCATGTATCATAACTTCAGAGCATTATAAAGCTTCAGCTCTCAGTTCTGAACTGAAAGGACTCCAGGAATAATTCATGAGAAGAGAGAAAGAGAGAGATTGTCTCCGCACGTGGGTGTCAGGTTAACACATGGAAAATCAGCACACAAAAACAACAACAACATGGCATGCACACGCTTAATGGATCCACCCCCACACACACTTTAAAGACCCTATAGGGTGAAAATGCAGCTTGAATCTACTTAACAGGCAGAATGCAAGGAATCAAAGTTTTTCCAGAATTTGAAAGCGAAAACGGATCTGTTGTCGGCATGTGATGATCTCACACACACACACACACACACACACACACACACACACACAGACTCCCCACCTTGACAAATAGCTCAATATCAGGGTCCTTGTCCTCCTCGGCTGCTGTATCCGTCATGGTCCAAAAACAACACGCTTTGCTTATGTGTTTTGTTTCCGCAAGTGTGTGTGTGTGTGTATGTGTGTGTGTCGTGTCAGTTTACAGCAGATTCTACTCCAGGTTCACGAGGTGAAGTCCGCCTAGTCCCATAGCAGCTCTGTCAAACTAACTGTGTGTGTGTGTGTGTGTGTGTGTCTGTGTCTGTGTGTGTGTGTGTCTGTGTCTGTGTGTGTGTGTGTGTCCAAGGCCTCAGCAGTGGGGCGTTACAGTGCTGGACAAAAATAGACCCCTTTTCGTGGGGAGGGGGTGTCACTGGAAGAGAAGAGTCACCCCAGGGTGCACAGCTCTGACTGTGAGAACACACACCGGGTGACTTTGAATCATCGGGAGTCATCGCACTTTTTCACACACTCATCAGCACTAATGAAACTAGATATTTGTGAGGCATCTTTGAAGGGAAATGTAGGATGTATTGCTGAGTTTATAAAGAGTTAGCACTTTGTTATAAAGCCACATTAACAACGGGTTTAGGAGCCGTAGCTAATGAGTTATAATGGTATATCAATCATTTAGAAACTCTTTAATAACAATAGGAAAGACTTTTGGGTTGCCAGGTTGTAGAAATTCCTCCTCTAGGTGTGTCACCTAATAAGTGTTGATAAATCATTAATTCAAGATTAGTTATCCATCAAGAATGTAGTTGTTAATGTTGATAAGTTGTTTATAAATGAATGTATGTTAAGATGCAGAACACAAGTCAAGATAAGGTGGCTTCTTGTTGACTTTTGATGATGTTAAATGATTTGTTTTTATATAAATGGAGTAAGCTTTTACTGTAACTAGTAATAGTCTCCAATTCTAATGCTTTGCTAACATTTCAGGAGTCGGTTGGCATTAAAATAGTGTGTAGGTGCGGCCAAGAGTGATCTGTCGTTAAATTGCTATCATTTTTACAGTTGTAGTTTCAAAGTGTCATATTTATGATGCTCCAGAGCAAGTGGACTTTAGTGGGGGATGTGCATGGTACGCTATATAGTGTGTGTGTGTGTGTGTTTAGGTGTGGAGGTACAATGTGCAGAGAAAGATATATAGATACACACACTTCATATGAATTCAATTGGCCATGCAGAACATTCTTGTGAGTTCAACTTATATTTAGAACACACACACAGTCACGCTCACACACACACACAGAAATGACTAAACATGACGACCTATAAATAGAAAAGTGTGTGTGTGAATAGCACATGGAGGTACAGTAGAGGGCCCAAACAATAGGACTACTGTCGAACTCTGGACGACACACACACACACACACACTTTAGGAGACGCTCATTGACCTTGCACACTCAGTTGTTCGTGAGCAACTGATATGAATGGGATAACGACTGAGATTTATGACTTGGTCCAAAGAAAGGTTTCTGCTTGAGCACACACACACTTTAAATTCAAATGAAGTCCATTTGGAATAATATTTTAAGTGAATGTTCGCTTACCTTAACATAAAGTTGTATTTTAGGTCCATCCTTTTCAGGCTCTGGCTTCTCCTCAGGTTCCTCCTTCTCAGAGGCAGATGAAGATGATGAAGATGATGATGAGGAAGATGAGGATCTGCGTGTTGAGTTCGCCTTCTCCGCTTCTTCTGGAGATCTCCTCTCCACATTCAGCTCTATGTTGCTCTCCACCTCTACCTTCTCCTCTTCTTTCTCCGATTCCTCCTCCCTTTTCACTTCCTCCTTCTCCCCTGTCTCTTCATCTCCAGAATGTGAGGAAGATGAGGAGGATGAGGAGGAAGAGGAGGATGAGGAGGAACTGCCTCTCCTCTCGTCTGATGAAGGGCGAGGTGGAGGTAGAGAAGGGGGAGCTGGTGCTTCTTTGGCCCTTTCGATGTTTTCGTACTCTGCCATCACGTCAGAAGGCTCTGCGTATGGCGTCTCGTATATCATATCGTAAATACCTGGCGACTGGTTCTCGTAGGTGACCTCGGGGGTCTCGTACACGGGATCCATTCTGGGGGAAAGAGGGTCTGCAGGAGACGTTCAGGGACCGTGTCAAGGTGTGGAGCAAAGTGAGGTTAATACCAGCGGTGTCTACCTTATCAAAAACACCCCAGGACTTTGAACAGGGAAGGCATAAAGGCGACGATGACAGCGCGGCGATCCTTAAAGGAGAAACCATGTTATTGCTTTTGTTGGTGGGAGCTAAAGTACCTTAAAAAAGTGAATCATTTATTACCTATAAAGATCTTTTAAAGGACCATCTTCAACATGTTTAAGCAGCACTGATTTGTACGTACAGTAGTGTAGTTTAACTTAGGCAAGCAATCTGATAATGCTTCCGTTGCCTTTAAGCAAAGTAGGCTAATAAATATGTGAGTAGGGACAGATATTATTATGTAGGTCCGACATCTGCCAAAAAAGATCTGATCAGCTATGTGCTTAAAATCTAACCTGAGAGACGAGACAACCATGCTGCTTTCTGCACCATGACTTCCGACTCTTTCCTGCAGAGAGACTCTTTCCTAGTGAGTCTTTCCTACAGATTGAGTCTTTCCTAGTGACTCTTTCCTGCAGAGTGAGTCTTTCCTAGTGACTCTTTCCTAGTGACTCTTTCCTGCAGAGTGACTCTTTCCTAGTGACTCTATCCTGCAGAGTGAGTCTTTCCTAGTGACTCTTTCATGCAGAGAGAGTCTTTCCTAGTGACTCTTTCCTGCAGAGAGACTCTTTCCTAGTGACTCTTTCCTGCAGAGAGACTCTTTCCTAGTGACTCTTTCCTAGTGACTCTTTCCTGCAGAGAGACTCTTTCCTAGTGACTCTTTCCTAGTGACTCTTTCCTGCAGAGAGACTCTTTCCTGCAGAGACTCTTTCCTAGTGACTCTTTCCTAGTGACTCTTTCCTGCAGAGAGACTCTTTCCTGCAGAGACTCTTTCCTAGTGACTCTTTCCTAGTGACTCTTTCCTGCAGAGAGACTCTTTCCTAGTCAGTCTTTCCTGCAGAGTGAGTCTTTCCTAGTGAGTCTTTCCTAGTGAGTCTTTCCTAGTGACTCTTTCCTGCAGAGTGACTCTTTCCTAGTGACTCTTTCCCAGTGACTCTTTCCTGCAGAGTGAGTCTTTCCTAGTCAGTCTTTCCTGCAGAGTGTGTCTTTCCTAGTGAGTCTTTCCTAGTGACTCTTTCCTAGTGACTCTTTCCTGCAGAGTGACTCTTTCCCAGTGACTCTTTCCCAGTGACTCTTTCCTAGTGACTCTTTCCTGCAGAGAGACTCTTTCCTAGTCAGTCTTTCCTGCAGAGTGAGTCTTTCCTAGTGAGTCTTTCCTAGTGACTCTTTCCTGCAGAGTGACTCTTTCCCAGTGACTCTTTCCCAGTGACTCTTTCCTGCAGAGTGAGTCTTTCCTAGTGACTCTTTCCTAGTGACTCTTTCCTGCAGCTGCTGAATGCATCGCATGTGCACTGTAAACAACATGTAGGTAAACTATGATTTAGTCCAATTCTGCAGCAAAACTGTGGATTAAAAAGGGATAAAGTCAATGTATGAAAGCTTCATGCAACTTGGATAGAACGGCAAATTACGCGCACCTTTACCTTGATTAAAAAAAACGTGAAAAGTACATTTACTCAAGTATTGTACTCAAGTATGTAATGCTACTTTATACTTCACTGCAGTTCAGAGGCTAATATTATTCTTTTTACTCCACCACATTTATTTTAACCCTCCGGTATCACTGTGGACGTTTTTGTCCAAATGGGTCATTTTTCACATTTCATTTGGCAATAACTTTGGTTGTGTTTGGGCAAATGGCCTGGCTTTTTGTAACAAGGCTATTTTCTCCATCTATTTTGGAATTCCAATTAAAAATGTTCAAATGGGTTTTTAATTCCCTGTGTAACAAATCGACTACACTAATTGACCATTCGGGACAAATTTCCACTGCAAAAGACTTTGATAAAAACATTAAAAATATTTTTTTCACCACTTTGAGTTTAATCTTTAACCCTGTGCTCCATGTCTGTTTGTCGTCATTTAATGTCCATGTTCCATGCTCGACCATGTCACCTGCCTGTTCCCGTCCGTAAGTTTGTTCCTGTCCGTCGTGCTCCACGGTTTTGTTTATGTTAAGTAGTTTGTTTTTCCTGTCTTCGGCTTTTTTTAAATAAAGCTAGCTTTGTTACCTGACCTTTTAACTGCACCTATTTTCCCCCCCAACCCTGACAGGCAGTTTATGTAATTAGTCGGACAACATGGACCCTGAACTACACTCATAAATTCTGGACTACAACATTTGTGGAAAATATATAAGTGCAGTTAAAAGTGCACCACAAAAGTGCGAAATTAGGCGAAAAGCATCAAAGTACCGTCTTGAAAGTTAGTATCATTTATCCTTACGCAATTAAATGAATGCGTTTCATTACCCCCAGCCATCTTGTCTTGTAAACGTGCTTGCTAACTCCATTTCTGAAAGCAGGCCAAATCATATTGTTACAACCCGGATCTTGGGCTGTAACAAAAAGCTGGGAGTCGAGACGAGGGGTATGAAAATATAACAATAATTTATTAGTGGACACAAAAACAGACAGCTGCGAGAGGAATGAGAGAGGCTCCCGGAACGCGATGGGCTGTCTTATAGCAGCTGCAGCTCGTCAGTCCACAATCACCCACAGCACTGGAACCTGCAATCAGAAGAGAGAGAGAGCCCACAGAACGCCTAGTGGTGTGGAGGGGTCGTCACTATTTTGGTCAGTCCCTTGACCCAACACATGGAAAAGCCCGGAATGTTTTTCCAGAAACGGCAACCTAGCCCTCTGCAACAAAACCAGGACCTGACCCCCAGGACCAAACAAGCGCTGCTCAGTTTTTCGTTGATACAGATGTTTCATCCTTACCTGGGCAGACGACAACTTCTCTTTGGCCATCCCCCCCAGCTGAATGCCACCTATGCCGGCTCACAGCCCGTGTCACAGCGCAAGCCACAAACACTCCAGGGAAGCACTTAGCATTTTCCTCTGGGTTAACAGTCACAGTGGGTGAAGATGACAGTATGGTAGGCGGTGGACGCTCAGCCCACACACGGCTGCCAGCCAGGCCATTACGAAGGATAACATCCACACCTTCAATCAGCATTACAGGACGGACCGCCATGTTGACCTCACCCTGCACCAAACCAGAGTTAAGCACAACAGAAGAGAAGAGAAGAACGGATATCCCAGATCCCCTGGATGCATGCAGCGTGTCACGGCTGGCTTGTATTTGTCTTCTGCTAGCCAACGCTCGTTGAAACTGCAACCTCCTGGCATACTGTCATCTATCACTCATCAGAATGGCCAGGTCACACGTAAAACAAACACTTGCAGGTCATGCGCATAGCGCGGGAAGGCCGGAGCAGAGCTGTTTTATGTAAAAGGGAAGCAATTAAGCGCACTCAAGACTTCTTTATTTTCTTTTAATCTAAAAAGCTGAAACTGATTCCTGAAGCCACAAGGTGCACTCTAAAAACTAAAACTATGATGTACTCAATTCTATTGGTGAAACATTTGTACACTTAAAAATATTGAGTAAATGTTAAAGCTGTGAAATCCTTTAAAAAAGGTAAGATACCCTTTTAAAACTTTTCAAGAACACAGACTAAAACAGCAATGTACAGACGAATCAGATGATTAACCATGATCTTAAAATATATTTTATATATTTTTTTATTTTTATTTTGCATTTTTTGTAATCATTATTTGTAATACTTTCTGCTGACACTAGGTGAGGCTGGAGCATAATGTTTACTGGAAACAAATGTTAGGGCTTGCATGTAAACTACACTTTGTCCTTGGATGATGTGAAATGTCTGTTTACTTGATGTATTGAGTTGAGGTTACCAGCCTTGGAGGTCTACCCTGATTTTATTAATCTGGCTGCTCCACCGCATCAAAAACCTGACCAAACTCCAGGAGGTGATGCTGAAGAACTACATCAGCAGCCTAATGGAGTACGCCCTGCATCTGCAACACAATTGTGAGTTCCAGCTCGTCAAGTAGCCTCCACACGAGCGAGGCCCACTCTGTGTTGCTGGTGAGTTTAACGGGGCTCGGTCCTCCGCGCATTAGCAACATATGCTGCTCAGGCTGCTCAAATGCATTGCCGTGATGAAAGATGTAGATCTTTAATGCGAGGTTTTGAATGCTGTTTCTTCCACTGCTTGATATCTCCGAGTGTTAACCCCCGTGTTGTGTTCAGGGGACGACGGCAGTCCGGAGAACATGCTTCTGCACGGCCCGTTCTCCAGGAAACCCAAACGCATCAAGACGGCGTTCTCTAAGACTCAAATGCTGCGTCTGGAGCGAGCCTTCGAAAAAAATCACTATGTGGTTGGAGTGGAGAGGAAACAGCTGGCGAGCACACTCTGGATAAGCAGCCTAATGGAGTACGCCCTGCATCTGCAACACAATTGTGAGTTCCAGCTCGTCAACCAGTCGGGACCCTGTCACAACCCAAGGTTTGTCATTAATCTGGCTGCTCCACCTCCCCAGAACCTGGCCAAACTGCAGGAGGTGATGCTGAAGAACCCCGTCAGCAGCCTAACGGAGTACGCCCTGCATCTTCAACACAATTGTGAGCTGCGAGCGGCTCTCGAGGCAGGGGACCTCATTAAACACCTAAATAAAAACGCAGTGTTGGGTCTTCGGAAATACGCTAAAGCCCGGGGCTTTGCTGTTGAGATCCCACTGGTGGGCCAGTCCGGGCCAGTCCGGGCCCCCGCACAAGCCCAAGTATGTGTGAGCCGCATGAAAACACAGATAACATGTACACACTAGACATACAAATACTCTTACTGTCTGGGAAACCATGTTCTTGGGGAAAGATGTTTCTTTGTGTCCCTGGAAAAAATGCATTTCTTTAAGAATTCAAAGTTTTGGAACATTATTGAAAGTAATTTTCCGCTAACAACACTTTTTCTCTGCTAGTGTTCCCTTGGGACCTTTTGTTCTTAAAGTGACTGAGAAAAACTATGAAATCCTCCTGTGTTTATGTTTTACTGAGTGCTTATAGGCTATTTCCATCCCAGTATTCAGTTAACTATTTATTTTCTGTGCACATTAC